ATGATTCTATGATTCTATGATTTGTTTCTACATAGCTCCTGTATAGTTAGGAGTGACGGATGAAACTTGCTGCTCACAGAGTATTTATTGGAAGCGAACAGCGACTTCTGACATCTGTGTTGCCAGAGAACTCCAGAATACAGGGTAATCTGGACTTAGGAAGTGGCTAATCACGCAAAGAGTGAGATTTTGGAATAAATTTCCCAATGTAGTTGTAGGGGGAAAAGTGCTTAAATAGTTTAAAAATAGAGGTTGATAAATTTATGAACAGTATTATGTGATACGATTGCCAGCAATGGCAGGGACAGAATTCAGTGACCGAGGAGCTTGTGCAAGATTACGTCTTTTATTTTGATAAGTGCAAGGCAAAGCTTCTCATCTTCAAGAATAAATAAATGGAAAATTAAACATAGTAAATATTGTAAATATTTCATTGACACTTCGTACTGTGAAATTGAAAGCAGTCTTTTGCCCAGTTCGAAGTTATTAGAGTTTGTAGCTGTGAGGCTTGATAACCATGATAATAAATGGTATTTATATTCTAGTGCAAAACGGGTATCAGAACCAAAACACACAAATATGGACAAACCTAATTAAGCTGTGATTGGTTTATTCATATCACAGCAGCTAAAGGCTATATGACAAACAGCTACAAAGCAGGTGCAGCATATATCATTGGCTTGATTATTAAAAATCGGCATTTTATTAAATTCCCAATTAAAAAAGGGAGATTGTATACAAATTCAGAGAAAGTCAGTCATGCTATAATTGTATTGTGTCATAATAAAAACCTATTTTCTTCATGAAGTAATTGCATAGTTCCAGTTTGTCATGATAAATCAAGCCCAAATCTGAGCACAGGAAGATCTAAAAAAAGTCAAAATGTTCTCCATGATGCATGGGCCAGGATATAATCTAGAGAGGGTCAAATTTAGAATAATAACACTTACATTTTTATAGCCAAGTCACTGAAACTTTGTATAGCAAACTGCAGTTTCAGTGGAAGGAAAGGCATGTTTCCGCAGTAGCATACTGTACAAAGGCAGCATTTTTCTATTGAGATGCCTACCAAAGATCTCACTGGAGCCAGGGGAACCACAGCCAAAGTTGTGTTTATATCTTCTTCATTTTAATAAAGCAGCCGTCCACACCCTAACAGGCATATTCATACTTACTGTGAGGGTATATGGAATGCCACTGACCTCCCGCAGCAGGTTTGGGTATGGTCCTGAGAGCTTGCAAGAAGGAATAAGCCCTGAAACCTGGAAGAAGGAGGGAAGAGCTCCATGTCCCGCCACTGCTGGTGCCACTGAAAGAGCGTGCAGGGAGGCAAGCCCCCACGGCATGGTTGGTTTGCTTATCAGCAGAAGTGCAGTCGGATGCGATAGGGCTATTATGGGCTAATCTGGGAGGGAAAGGTACAATTTTGCTTTTACTGCACAGCGCTATAAAGCGAATAAATAGTGCTTAGCCTATAAAGAAACTGGATAAAATTCAGTTCAGTGATATCAGGATTGATCACTGTAAACTGACATTGCTATTTCCACGTACCTCCAAAAAGATGCCCAGCGTAATGTACAAAGCAACTGCACAATTTTTGGAGCTGCAACAGCTACAAGTGTTATTAACCAGCAGAACTGCAACTAGAACATAGACGGTAACTTAGAAATACATGACAGAAATATCATATTGGGAAAACAAGAGCAGAAAAACAAATTAGAAAGGGAGTAACATCAGCTCATGTCATGATTGAAAATCTCTTACAAGTTCCTATGCTCTGAGTTTACATTGTTTTTCTTAAAGAAAATAAAAGATTGGTTTTGAGTTTTGTGTGTACAGTGCCAGTGCCTTGTGCAGGGTATACTGCCTGCGAGGCATTTGATCAGTGTCGATGCTATTAAGAAAGTAAGGGCTTGTTTCAGTCGCCTAAGCAAGGATATGCAGCACTGTGTGAGATGCTGAGTCCGCAGCAGCCAGGCCAGAACGGGGAAGGTCTCGCTGAAGTCCTCCAGAACACCTGACAGCACCAGGCAAAAATGTGGGATATGCTAGAATGCCTCCAGTAGCAATAGATGTCTATCCTCAGGCAATGTAACTGAACCCTAAATATATGTATTTTACAGGGAAAAAGGATACAGCATGGTTATAAAAGTCATGATTATTTCTGAGGATTTTTCCAATGGGGATCTGGGAAAGGAACTTTTTCATCTAGCGACACGACCAGGCATTGCAAATATTGATCAAGGAAAAATTTATTTACAGAGATTTTTCAAATACAAACATAAAATAGCACATATTATATATATATTTTTTACAAAAATGAATATTGAAATAATAAACATGGTACAGCACAATACGACATCAATGAGCTAAACATAACTGCAACAGAAATCTATGTCTGGAAGAAGTTTCCTGTTAGTCGTACGTAACCAACAGAGCTCTACAGTACCGTGAGTGGAATTTCCAATGGACAGAAAAACGTCCATTTACTGAACTTCATAAAAGTACTATAGGGAAAGGCTACATATGCCAAGTAATTACGTTGCATTTTTGTAATAATGCTGAAAACACAGAGGCTTAATAAAAGTTATATAGGGCTGAATAAGCAGTGGCTAAATGTTTGGGGAAGAAAAATGTGTAGAGAATATACAAAATACTGATAAAGTGGCTTATTGGTCCTTTTATTAAGTTTAATGTATAGATTAAAAAGTCTTGCAACACTGAATTTTAAACCACCAGAGAGAAGTAAAAAAAAAGGAAAAGAAAGAAGAATCGCACCAAAAAAAGTTTCCTTTCTACTTATTTTGTGCCATGGTCAACATCTGTGCGTGCATGTGTGCTTTCGGGAGCGCCGTGCCGAGGGGTTGCCGGGTGCTACCCCAGCCCCCCGGCACCGCCATCCCCTCACCAACCTCTCAATTACTCGGTGCACACAGAATTTCACCATTTGCCAAAGCGGAGTTTTCCTTGCTTATATTTTTGTGGAGCAGACCACGGGTGGGCTTGGGTGAGAAAGCCCATTCCTGTCCTGCCCAGCCAGGTGGCTTTGCGCCGCCATTCACCTCCCTGCCCTCCCCGGGGCCACCCGCTGTCCCACCCCATGCCCACCCCAGTGAGAAAGCACTTAAAAATTTCTTGTTCGTTGTCATTATCCAGAAGACGTCAGCAAGCCCCTCGGGCGTCTGGCAGCGCCCGCGCCCCGGGGCCGTCTCAGTAGGGGTACTGCTTCTGCTTCTTGCCCGAGAAGCAGGCCAGCCAGGTGCACACCAGCATGGCCGCCGCCGCGCCCCCGCCCGTGCAGTAGTAGGCCCAGCCGATGTGGCAGGTCCCTGCAAGGGAAACAGAGCGACATGGCACAGCGTTAGCTGGGGGAGAAAGCACTGTCGCCACCCTCCTTTCTGCCCACCCAGGAAAAAGCACTTTTCTAGGTTTCTGCCCACTTGTATGCCCACCTCAGACAGGGAATGCAGGGCGTAATTCAAGCAATTAGAGAAGCCAAGCTGTTTAAACGGCTCCCCTTAATTTTCTATAGCAATTCAGCAGACAGGCCTCCAAGCTCACTTGCTTGGCCAGTTGCTGTTGTCCACACAGGGGGAATCGCCACATGGGAGCCAAAGCAGAGGCTGCTGGCACCACGAGCGTGCCAGCCATGGGGCGGGTGTCCCTCTGCCCACCCGGCCCAGGGAGCACCCGTGGCACTGCTCTCCACAGTGGCTGCAGTCAGAAGAGGGTTTTTCCCACCCTTCTCTTTCTTCTCCTCCTGCAGGCAGTGTCTGAGGACATTTTGATTATTTTTGACTGAGATTTTGAGGGTTTGCATGTAACACGGGCCAGGGCCTGCTCCCTTCAAAAAGAGCTGGGTGGATCTACCTCTGCCATCTCAGTGACAGGGCTCGAAACTGGACCCAGCTGCAAGCTGCTGGGTGACTGTAAACCAGGACATGGCTGCAGGGGACCCGTTCATGTTCCCCTCTCACAGGCATCAATCCTGACCAGGAGGCTCCCGGTGGCAAAGGATCATGGTGTTGAGAGTCCACCTCAACAGCAGCATGGGGGCTGCTGTGGGAATGGAGTCCACAAATGCAAAAATAGAGAAATTTCCCTATCCCCACCCAAGGTCACAACTCATTGCTTAAAACTTCACTGATCTTTTGTCTGATGTGTTCGACAGTGTCACAATATGGCCTTGAATACATTTAATGGCCACGGTATCTTTATATAGCCAAACTCATCACCAGCAAATGGTGTTGGGAAATCCCATAGTGGACCTGGGATTCCCCTTCCAGACACCACTGTGCCTACAGTAGAGGAGGAGATCAGGAAAACAGCAGCTGCAGCAGGGAGGAAGCCTCCTCGCAGAGATCTCCGAAAGCAAGGAGATGGCTGCTGTTACTCCTCAGGATTTCGGCCCATCTCAAAAGTAATTTCCACTTGGGCTGCATCATCTTGGTCATTTTGATCTTGAGTGCTTGGCACTCCTTACAACTGAGGTTCTTCCTGTGTTGCCACCTTGGGTGATACCACCCTGCTTTGAGCATTGAGTGCTCTCAGTAAGGCACAAACAGCAATGCAACACTTCCTTCCCGCTCTCTGGAAAATGCAGCAGAAACCATTCCCCCCTCCAGAGAACAGAAGGTAACAACAGAGTTTCCATCTAGAAAGACAGAGCTGAAACAGGTGGCATGTCCATACTCTGTCCCAGTAGCATCCTTGAGGGCCAGCCTTCTGGTTCAGGCAATTATCAACTCAGCTAATCCTGCCTTAGGCACAAGACACACGAGATGTCTGTACATCTCAACATGTCCAAAGCATTAGCATGTCTCAAGGCAGATGGCATGTCCATTGACTGACTGCAGGATATTGTCAGGCCAGCTTTGTAAGGAGACGTTAGTGGGAGGCAACACTTATGTTCTTGGCCACTCTGAAGATCTCAGGTTGACACCACAGCAGGAAGCATAGTACTTGTTTTCAAGTTTCATTTTCTCTTCATAACCCTCAAAACTTTTTATTTAAAAAAATGTCCAGTGAAACAAAGATCCTAACATGACCAGAGGACTTGAGGAGCTGTGGCCTTGGCTTGAGCTCATGAGCCTCTCTCCTTAATGTGCTGGAGCAGACAGAGAGATTTACTTGGTTTGTAATCTGGTTATACTCTGTAGCTCAACACCATTCTTGGCTTCCTTACAGAAGACCACACAGAGAGTCTGACTTCCTAAAGAGAAGACCATCAGAAAGTATTGAGAGCCGCCAAGTGCCTGGTAATGTCACTGATGCTGATCCTTGCCCAATCGCACAGCAGTCCCTGGAGACACCTGTCTCTGGACCATCTGTTGCTTTGCCTGTGTACACACACTGTCTATAGCTTCTGCTGGGAATTTCAAAAGCAGGCTTAAGCATACACCAGATGTCTAAATCCATTGGATTGCTTAGAAAATGATCACGTTTATACCAGGGTGGGGTGTGCTAAAAGCATTTCTTATGATAAGATGGACTCCATCTGATAGGTCTTTTTAAATTGCTAAGTAGTTGCAGCTTGAAAAAGTAAATCTTTCTCATCATGATGCTTTCAGGTAGAGAAAATAAATGTCAAAATGTTTCTTTAAAAAGAGTTTAAAGATTCACCTGGTAGCACTGCCCAAAGCTGTGACCTAAGTGGGATAGAATGAAGTAAATTTGGACTTTTATGTGGTGTGATTTCAACTTTTGTGCCTTGGCAATGGGAGAGGGGGAGAGTGTACCTGATACATATTAAGAAGAAAGAACTGTTAAATCAGCGTCAGAGATGTGCTCAACAGATACAACATGCACATTCAGTCTCGGCTGAAGAGAATAATGTTTATTTCTCCATACCATGCTCCATTTACCCTAAGGACCACTGCCCTACTTAATGCTCTGAGGCATGGCAGGCAGCTCTTGATCTAACAAATGCAATGTAGTTCACAAGTGTGAGTTGGGTCAAGATGAACAAATGAAAGAATGAGAGACTGCAGGAGAATGGATGAAAGAGCCAGGAGCCTGGCCTTAGAGCAATAATAACACAGCAATAAACCTGGCCATTATTTCCAGCCTGTGTCAGGAGCAATGGGAGGCCTCAGATAAAAAATCTTGATCTGTACTTGGATGACACTGAGCAGAACAGCGTTTCAAGCTATTGTGCTGAAGAAGAGCCTGCAGTGGTGAAGGTGTCTGAGGGTATAGGACTTAGCTATACTTTTCGTTGTAAGTATAGGGAAGTTCTCAGTCCATAGCTAAGTATAGCTATAAGGCCAGAGAGAATTCATCTCAAAGGTACCTGTTGAAATGAATGATTGCTCACACTGCATAGCCAAGTGTCAAAATGAAGCAACGCTACCCCTGTAGCAATATAATCCTGCTCTGGTGTTCTCATTTTACTACATGTATGACCTATTTTAATCCATTGCACCCTAAAGAAAGATTGTTGGTTGTCAATAATTGGGTAATTTATTTTAAATTGTAAAATTACTTCTGCTTCACTTTGATATTAAACACTCATTTTAAAAGGAACATGAAGCTTTATAGAAAATAGGGTTGATGAGCAATTAAATGTAACACCAAATGAAAAGAAATACACCTATAGAAATGTTATATGTTAGAGAAGATAGACTTTGCTTTCTAGCTTTACATTTTTATTTTATAATAATGGGTACCATAGAAGAATCCTTTCTCATGTTCAAATTATATTGCACTGACATCAGTGGGACTAGTCATGTATTCAGAGGTAAGCAAACGGTTAAGGGCTTTGCAGAACTGGGGCTTAAATTCAATCATCAAATAGATCAGTTTGCCGTTGTGGAGCCCATCATCTTAAACATTAGAAATGTTGCACTGAAATTTCCCATTTTTTTAAATGTCAAAACTATAAAACAAAGAGCAAGACCACCTAATTACTTGATAAAATTAAAACAATTAGTGAAACCATGTCAATTTTTACACACACACAGAGACACAGAAGCTGTTGTTTTCCTCAAGGATGCACAGGAATACATACATACAGGTAGTGTGCCAGTCCGTTGGGGGCATGGAGATGCGTGCAGGAATGTGTACATGTTTTTGCTCATAAGATGGGCTGGATCTGGTTTCACGCCAAAGTAAATTCCCCAGCAGCTGAAGTACTCTTCTAGCTGATAGAGATGACATGCATCACAGCAGCTTCCTTCTCTGCACAGAACTGGTGTTGCTTTTAGCAAATCAGTCTTCACCTGACAGGGCAGTATGGAGGGAGAAGCTGTGGCTTCAGCGTTTTGTTAGTTCTGGATCTTTTTTTTTTTTTTTGTAAAGGAGAGCATAAATAATTGGAGCTCTTGGTTGCTCAGTGAAGCAGGACTGTCCAAGTTGGCTCAGGTAAATTTGTAGCCAGCCATTAAGAACTTTGTTTTCACATTTGTTTTACTGGGATTGGCAGCAAAAGAGTGTCAGGATGAACTCTGAAATCATAGAATAACAGACCTTGCAGCTATAGGGCTAGATGGCCATTTTCCAAGCAAATAAAAGAAGGAAAGAGTACCTCTCTTTTGTAAAAGGATTGAAAGAAATTGAAAGAAATCCAGTCCCCGAGGATAAAGGACAAAAGCAAGGTGAGTGAGGACACTATCAAAAGAAGATTCAGCAGAAAAGAGTCCCATAGAACATAAGACAATATTTGCTAAATCGAAAGAAATCAAAGAATGTGGAAGGGCAGTTTTGCAGTGATGGATGGGCTTATTAAAAAACACTTCCATGCCTTTTTCTGATTTCTAACGTGATCTTCAAGGCCATGATATGTGTCCCCTAGCTCCCCCCCTCCCTTCAATATATAAGGCAAATAAAGATTAAGACAAATTTGGGAGTAAGTGAAATTTGGCAACAGAAAATCTGCAGATACTTGATCTACTGCAGAGCTGTGCCAGGATCCAGTTGCTGAAACAGAATTTTACCAGGATTTCTACTCATGATGTCTTATAAATAATTATCACATATAGTTATCAAGGTCCTGGAAATAACATATGATTTTCATCTAAAATAACCAATAATTGACACTTATGAAAAAATATCCAGAACCTGAAAGTGTCTTGGATGCAAACCTGTTAATTGCAAGAGTTAGTATCTTAAATATTTGTACCTTCTTTGCTGCTAATGTTAAGACTATCCTGGGCTTGCAGCCTGGAGTATTTGGCGAATTCTAATCATTTAACCTTAAGTACAGCCTATATTCCAAGATGAAGGAAAAAAGGTTTCAGAATTAGCCTGGCTGAATCATACAAATGATACACCTTAAAAAGAAAACCTGCAATTCCTACCTGCAAAAAGTTGCGCAGGAACTCTAATTAAC